AAGTGTCAGTTTAACACCTTCCTTCTTTATTTTTATGGGTTTTGGTTTGCTTCTCGTTAAAATATTCTGTTTGAAATGTATGGTTCTATACTGAATAACATGGTGGCAATGGACACCTTGATCTTGTGTCTGATCTCAGAGAAAATACTTGTAGCTTCTCTCCATTCATATTAATGTCATCTAGGGGTTATTGTACGTAATTCATAGTATATTGAGGAGTTTTATCATAAAGAAGTGTTAAGTGGTATCAAATGCTTCTCGTGAATCTACTGAGATCATATATGGTCATACAGTTTTCATATTTTATTCTGTGAGTGTATTGATTTCCATATGTTGAACTACATTTTAACTCTGGGAACGCAACCAACTTCAATAATGGTGAATAAACTTGAATCCCTGGGATGAAACCAGTGTGCTGTGGTGAGTGATTTGTGACTTACTAGTGAGTTTGATTCCATGGAACTTTGTTGTGAATATTTGTATCTGTGTTCATCAGACATATAATGGTTGATAGGTTGTTGCTGCTGCTGCTGCTGCTGCTGCTGCTGCTGCTGCTGCTGCTGCTATTGCATGCTTCTCTGGTTTTGGAAGTTAGATAGTGCTGGGTTCTTGGGTTTTTAGTGCTGATAAATTGTGAAAATCCAATGAAAAGAAACTAGATAGTTAAACGTCAGCAGTGGAGCCTTCTGACCATGGGCTCTTATCCGGTGAGAGACTTCATGGGTGATCCAGTCTCATACCACCATTGTTCTCTTCAGATTCTTGTGTCTTCAGGGTTCATTTGACCCATTTTATATACAGGTGTCTATCTCTGGGTTTTTCTTCTTTGTTAGCCTATTTTCGTAGGAATCTCTATGATTGTATTTCTCTGGCTGAGATTGCAATGCTTCACAGAAAAGTTAGGATCAGGTAGCCTGAGAATCTTCATGCATTTACTATATACAGTCGACCATGGAAACAGGATTTTTAAAGACAGACAGACAAGGCAGCAGGGTTAATATGTAAAACTATAAAACTGAAAAAAGAATTGGTGTAATCTCCATAGGAGCAATTTCTGTAAGGGATCATTTCTCAGACTGTTTACATCTGGAGAGAGACAGCTATAGTGAACATTTTCTGCATATACTGTCAACATTCACATTCAGACCCAGGGAAGGCTCTCTCATCTCTGAAGCTCACTAGGGCAGTCTTGTTACTCCTGTAGGGCTGAAGCGTTGGAGTCTTTGACATGGCCAGGCTCATATAAAACAATACATATTTGTTGAGGACTTCACAAACTCCCTACAGTCTTAGGAGACCTATTATTGGAAATCCTTTTAGTGTGTGTGTGTGTGTGTGTGTGTGTGTGTGTGTGTATGTGTGTGTGTTGGACCTATGACTTTATCCTTTTTTTTTTTCTCGTTCACTGTGCTTGCTCCATGTTTTATGTTGTATCTCCTCTTCAGTGGGGTTTTCCATTTTACATACTTTAGTGATGGTGATTACATTTTATTCACTTCAGAATGCAGGACTTCTTATACATATTTGGAAGCTTTCTCTGGTAATCAGAGAATTTCTCAATGATGGCTGTCTTGGAAGGTCTTGGTTCCCTGGATGAATATTGTCATCATGACAAACATTGATTTCTTTCAAGAATCTGAATATACCCTTTAATGCTTTTCTGACCTATAAAGTTTCTGCTCAAAAATTCACTGTTACTCTGATATGGTGCCTTTAGGGATGACTTTGATCTTTCCAGTGGTGGATTTAAAGTCGTTTCTTTGTGTTCTATAGTTTGGACAATTTAATTGTAATAAGTTATGTGATGATTTTTTTTTTGGTCATGTTCATTGGGATGCTGTATGTGTCCTCTACCCAAACGTATGTATCTATTCTATGATCATAAAAGCTTTTGCTATTTTTCATAGGTTATCAATGAACTTTTTTGCCCTGATGAAATTTTTCTCCTTGCCTTCAGGAGAAGAATTTGTATTCCCAAATTATCAATTTTGGGCTTTTTTGTTGTTTTGTTTTCTTGTTTGTTTCTCATTTACTAGTGTGCCCGAGATCTTGAGTGCTCTATGCTTTGTTGTGAGCACAAACAGAGCACTTCAAAAGATATATGTCCATGCTTTTGCCCCTCAATTCTGTGAGCTGCTGACACTTCCATTTTGAACTCTGCATGTCTAAGATGCGCTTGATTCTCTTTCAGAATCTCACTTTACATTTCTTATCCCCGTTGCCCACACTGTCTTCCTCATTTTACCCACCTGGCAATTTTGATTTTTTTTTTGAGCTCTCAGGTTTTTTTCTATCCATTCCTTTTAAATTCTTTTGTAAAGTATTTTATCTGTGTATCTTTCTTTGAAATTTGTTGGTGGAGTTAGGATTTTCTAGAAGCAATATATTACCTTTTTTGTTTCTGAAATTTTTACATTCATATTTTGAAAGTTGTACCTCTGGTTAATTAGTTATTCCTACTTTTATATGATAGTCTTATTAGGGGTGGAGCCTTTGAGACTGCCCATCCCCAGTGTTGTATTTATGCAGGTCAGAAGAATTGGAGATATTATGGATACTGCTTTCCTCCTTATATATAAAAGACACTGCCTCACAGCAGGTGTCCTGGTCGTCTGACTCTTACACTCTTTCTATGCTCCTCTTCCTCAGTGTTCCCTGAACCTTAGGCATTTGTTTAATATACAGTGTTTGTTCTGAGTCTAGCTGGTCACCATCTCTCATTTCTCAGATTCTTATGCAGTTGGGATTAGTGAGTTTGGGCTCTGTATATGTATTGCCAAAATCTGCTATACTAGTTGTCTGTGCTTCACAGGAATAGAGACCCACTAGCCACTTACCAGGTAAAGAGGTATGGGCAGCAAACTGTGTAAGGAGTTCATTGTATAGGTACTCCTGAAGTTGAAATATTGGTCCTTGTTGTTTAGTAAGGTGGGAGGGTGAAAATCAGCATAGGCCCTGTTGAGGATAATTGTACTTCAAGCAAGGGCCTGAGGCATTAGTGACCATACTGAGGCATTAGTGACCATAGCAGTCGTGGGGAGTTTGCAGGACCTGTTCTCCAGGCAATAAATAGTGAGGGCCTGGATGCTGCTCAGGGACATATAGTTTAATTACAAGGGAAAACCTAATTCAGCTTTTGACAAGACACAGAAATCATAAGTTCTTTACAGAGCTGTAATATATATTATCTATAGCTACTCTATTCATAAATGGGAATTTTTCTGTAGGACAAGAAAAATTAAAATAGAACTATTATCCTACTTTATGTAGTTTTATGTAGAAACAAATAGAGTTTTTAATTTATAAGTATTGGATTGACCCTCCCATTTCTGTTAATGGGATGATCCTTTTACAAGTTACCGTCTCATGAAAAAGTGCTGTACTTGATCAAAAATGACCAAAAGAAGTAATGTGGCTGGTAATTTTTATGTTTTGATTTTTATTGGAAATTGCAGCTTGCACTATCATCTGAAGCTATTATGGTAGTTGACAGGGCCAGAAAGAACAGGAAGAGGTGGGGAGGAACTCAGCTAGGCCTTCACTTCACAACTCACTTTACAGTGTCTTTGTGTTTTTTTTAATTATTATTATTACAAGAAAAAATATTCAATTAGTATGTCTATGGCCCTGCTGCTTCTTAAACTCTGCACTTCTAAAATGCACTTACGTATATAGATAGGTGGATAAACATGTCCTGTGTAGGTAGCTATCCCATACCCTGGGGATTTGTATTGTAGCTTATAATTAATTGCCTTTGTTCTCAAGAGTCCTGTATGTTCATGAGTACCAGTGTTATTGTTTTCACTTTATTAAGCCGCTATCCAGGATGGGGATATGGCTTAGTGGATGGTGTACTTTTTGTACAGCTGTAAAGGACTGAGTTTGGATCCCCAGAACCTGTTTGAAGCCAGATATGTTAGAATGCATCTATAATCTTAGCTACTTCCGGTGGACTGGGAATAAGAAACAGGAGACTCTCCATAATCTTGTAGGCCATCCATCCTGTTGTATGCAAAGGTGAACAAGAGACGCAGCCTTAAACAAGGTGGAAGGAAGGACTGACCCAAGGTTGTCCTATGAGCACTACATATAGGTCACAGCACATGTGTACCCACTCTCTCATACACACACACAAACATGGACACATCTACACATACTGCTGCACACGTTTAAGAGACTGCATAAAAAAAAGAATGAATTACCTTCAGGGTCCTGACCTATAGGCCAGTCTCCTTCTGATGCTTTTTTTTTCTCTCTTTGTGTTTTTTTTGGGCAAAAGTTCCTGCATCAGAATCTAAAGTGTTTGCTCGAGCAAAGCCACACTTAATTTGTTCAACCTGTTGGCTGACAGAGTCAAACCATCTGCTGTTTTTGTTTTCCTTTTCCTTGGTATAAGTGAAGTGCAGCAAATTAACTTGGAAACCCAGGGAGGAGGAAACCTTACGCTATATTTCTCGCAATAGCTCTTCCACCAGTACATGAGTAGGATCATTTGGGGACTATTCTGTATTTTTAAAATTGAGTCATAAGGGATGCTTATCCCTCTGGTAGGAACCTCTCAACTCCCTCTCCTCCTCATCCTCCTTCTCTTCTTTCTCCTTGCAGCCACAGTCTGTGACACAGTTGAGAAAGATATAATTTGTGACTAATCAGATCTTGCCACTTTTACTCTGGACTTCAACGCTATTGCAGTAGTTTTGGTTTTTGTTTGTTTGTTTATTTTAAAGTAACTCTTTTTCTGGCCTGAAAAGTAAAATATGGAATCAGAAAATAAGTATGTTAGTTTTCCATCAAACTACTATATTCTCACACCACATTCTATTTTTTTAAATAAAATAATGTTTTTCACTCCACAATAAGCTAGCCAACAAATAAAAATAGTTATAGAGAAGATGAAAAATGGTATTTAGCATAAAATAATGATATAACAGTGTTATCTTCTGTAGTGTTCATTTTTATCCCACTGTTTCAATGCTATCTGTCTTTGACAATCTCCACAGATAGTTCTCAAGCACCAGCTAGACCCCCTAAACCACGACCCCGAAGGACTGCACCAGAAATTCATCACAGAAAGCCCCATGGGCCCGAGGCGGCGTTGGAAAATGTCGATGCAAAAATTGCAAAACTCATGGGAGAGGGGTATGCCTTCGAAGAGGTGAAGAGAGCCTTAGAGATTGCCCAGAATAATGTGGAAGTGGCCAGGAGCATACTTCGAGAATTTGCCTTCCCTCCTCCCGTCTCCCCACGTCTGAATCTATAGCAGCCAGAACTGGAAGCACCAAAGGGTAAAACAGTTAACAAATATTCCAGGAGTATGGAACAAAAGGACTGAGAGAGGAATGCAGGAGCCACAGTGTCTTTCCATGTGACATCTCCAGAAGGCAGCCTGGAGTCCAGCCTCTCTGGTACCATAGCCCTCTGAGGATGCCCACGCTACAGCTTCTGTGTTTGTGCTAGCCATACTTTGAAATCAGGGTTGAACTGTTAAAATAATTTAAAGACGTTTACTCCCCCTTGAACTTTGAATCTGTGAAATGCTTTTCCTTGTTTACATGTTGACAGAATTGCAGTTTGTCTCAGTTTTTGATTCCTGTACTGTGTTCCTGACAGGCCCTTTTCAGAGTCAGTCAGGTCTGCTGTAAGTTTTTCCATGCCCGCTCTGCTGCCCACATCGGCGGCTAAACCGTCTCTTTTGTTGCTATCTATCCGGGCCCCACCTCATGTCCCGAGGTCCAGTTCCATTTCTCCCGTTCACACAGCACCCTAGCCTGAAGGTCCTGACTTTTCAGTGTTTCAAACTCATGCAGACAGAAAATGAAAAATGTGTATGGTCTTGTCTTCACTACTGAGTCTTTTCTTTGTGAACCATCACTGTTGAGAGGTGGGGGAAAACCTGAATGTAAAAAGCATTTATTTGTCAATAAACTGCCTTTTGTAAGGGGTTTTTATATACTATAAAAGAGCTTCTCTTGCTAGTTTAAGTTCTGTGACCTTTAGGTTTCCGAACTCCCCCTCTCGTCCACCCAGGAGTGTCATGACGCTGTAAAGGTGGCTGCTGCAGATGCAGGAGAAGCAGGCTTGCTGAGACAGGGCTTGTACTACAGTGCCATAATGAGATCTCCTAATATTTTTGCCTGCATCACTTTCAGGAGAGATGGAAAAGGGGACCACGGCCTCAAAATATGTTAGTATGCCTTTAGATAAGGTCATGGACATACATGCCTTTCCCAAGTGGAATAGAGCCCATTTTCTATTTTATGATGTCACCCTGGCTCCTCACAGTGCGGGAGCCCCCTAAGGCACTGATGACTGTTATGTATCACTGCTACTGCGGGCCTTATTACTTGCAAAACTCTTAGTACCCTTTCTCCAGTAACGTAGGATCCCTGTTTACTCTGTGGGTTTTGTCACTGACTGCCCTGTGTTGCCCCATCCAGTCAGATGAACCACTGGTACTAAAGATACCTATTGATCGTCTGTAATGTGCTTTGCACTCTTCTTGGCTTTGAAAGCACAAACTCTCACACATGGACTCCACCGTATTTCTTGTGTAGATGTGTCTGGTGGTAAATGTCTCCAGTCTGATGGATGATGAAGCTTCAATGATTGATTCGAGGACTTTAGACCTCTGTGGCAATTTCAGGCTTTTTGATTTGTTTGTTTGTTTGTTTGTTTGTTTGGGTTTTTTGCATCCATAATAGTGGGGGAGAAAAGAATAAAAGCTATCTCCGTGCAAAAATGCTTGAACCACATTTTGATAGTTTCTAAAGATGGATTTAGTTGTAGGTTTCTATGGATGTTTCTTACCACTCCTTACTCCACACTCAGTTTCACATACAGAGATGCCTCAGATAATCACTCATCCTGACAAAGGACAACAAGATAGTACGTCAGACAGATCCGATGGAGCTGCCACTGTACAAGACTCATGGACAAAGCTGCATTTGTCCAGGAAGGGGATCCAGCACATTCTTTTGCAGTCTAGCTTTCATGGAATGAGACAAGATTTGAGGACTCATAGTCTTTGCATAGTTTAGGCTTGTTCAGATGGTCCTATGTAGCTTCTGCTACCAGAGGGGTATTTTTTAATGTTTTTAGATTCTCTACCTGGTAGGAGGTATGAATACAAGTTTTTTATATTTTTTACAATTAGCTGTTTTATTATCTGCTCTTAATTTTTTTTACTTGGTTTATAAGTTGTGATACAGTGCTACGTATTTTGGGCTCCATGTAACTTGACAACAATCTGCATAGCCTAAAACCCAGAGTTGGCCCTTGGTTGTCCTAACACTGTTAAAACATCCTTAAAAAATGAGGGGTAGGTTTACAACAGGAACACTGGGACCCACAGCATACTGTCCTCCACACTCAGATGATACAAGAGATTTTCATCAAGAATTTAAAAACTAAAGATCTGCTGACACATTTTATTGGAACCTGAGGTTTAGGGGGCAGAGTGAAGTGTAAATAATTTTCTGGATTGTACCAAGATCTCTGCTGCATCCACTCAATAGGTACTGCCAGTTTTCTCATCAAGGAAAGTGAATCTTTTGAGTCATATGTAAGACAAAGCAGACAGAAAATGTGAAATCCTGTGAGGGCAGAATTTGTTTGAAAAAATAGTTCAAATTATTCTTTTGTTAAGAGAAGGACTACTAGTCAATACCCTGAAATGCTCCACACTTGGTTCCCTCTGATCCAGATGTGCCTCCCAGTGTTCAAGCTTAGATAATAGAGTTACCCTTATTTAATATAATCTACACAATTAAAACAAACCATGGCTAATTGTCACCCTTATGGGATCCATCTCCATTGTATTTCCAGAATTCTGAAGGTTTTTGTTTTTCTTTTTCCTTTCCTTGTATCCTCCCCACCCTACCACCAACTTCTTTATATCTGATATATCACAGCCAATTTTTCTGGACCCAAATCTGGCATTTTGATGCTTAACATATCTTGCTTCCACAATTACAACAGTTAGCCCTTTCTTATGCTACCCTTACCCACAGTACAGCAGAGCCCTAGCTACAGCCTCCGGGGGTCTGTTGGCTAACTCGGTATTTCACACACCCAGGACACATGCAGAGTTCTTCATAATGTGAACTTCCTAATTGTTCAGTTCCAGAAGCATTTCCTGCAGTTTGAACGTGACTTTGCCTTTCAGATTTTCAACTTGAAGCTTTAGTTTGCACTGAATTATCTCATCTGGTTTTAATATGTCTCAAATGGACTGATTTGGAAGCAAAATGTGGTATAGTTTAAATATTGATGCAGGTACTTTCTGTAAACCTGAAACATTAGATATTCGACAAAGACTTTCCAGAAAAAGACAGCAACAGAAAGAAAGTTTTCTTCTCAGTTCCTATTTTTATTGTTTTGAAATGCAGTTTTTAAGACTTGTCTATTATGGCAAAGTAGCTATGTGTTCAATTAATTTATATTTTATTCATTCTTTTTCAATTCTGGATATGTAACCTCAAGTACTTTATCTGTTCTTTTAAGGTATTTTATAAAATGAATGTTAACAAATGCCTTTTGTATGTTATTTTTCAGGTGAGCACAAATATTTCTTTGAGAGCATACTTCTGATGTTATTTTTCCATAGGGTATGGAAATAGCACTAGAGAGCTATCTGGGCAGACGTGTCCACCTTAGAAAATGACTAAGTCACCAGATGCCAAACCCACATAACTTAAAGACAATCTAAACTCGGTCATGTCAGAGACCCAAAAGTCAGTATTTAAGATTACAGGTAATGCGAACCCTTAATAATGAAAAGACTGCTTTGGAGAGGATGACACTAGATAATGAATGGGCATTTCCTGATTAATATTAACATCTGTTCTTTAAAATCTTTACATTTTTAATCACTGGATATGGCCAGAGACTTAAGGTGGGAAGAGCAACCATATAGAGAATAGGTTTGATAAGAGTATGTAAGAGTTCTTGGTGAGTAAATGCAAGGCCCAACAAACCATCAGGGGCAGCTGCCACTATGAGATACCCTATTCAGGGAACTCATTCTATATCAAGAATCAGCAAAATGTTATGAAATTGATTGGAACATGCAAAATCCTGTACACCATAATACTCATATCCCCTGAATTCACACACACTTTGAGGAGATTCACATCAGTAATTCCACACAATAAATACTGCATGCTACCACTTCATAACTTTATTGTACATGCCCTTATGGCTTCTGTTGTTGGCTATTCATTGTCTGTATGCCTCTTTATTCTCTCCTGGATACAGAGGTGGTCCCTCTGTTTCTGCTTAGCTTGCAGTTGCCCACAAATGTCCTTGTCTGTGCTTACCCGTCCTTTCTGATATTTATCTCCTTCCGTTTTGCTAGCTCGGCTAATTCTTCCAAGTACAGCCTAAGAATTGCCCCTGTGAAGCATGTTCTGCCTTCCTCTTCAGGCTGACTTGAGTATGCCATCTTTTATGTATCATACAACACCAATACTATGATCAACTATGAGGTTGAAGTTACCTCACATTTAAAGAGGTATAGATGCTTAATGGCAAATAGAGAATCCAAATTAGTAAATGGTTTCCAGTAAGTGAGCAACAGTCCTGAATTGCACTTGTAGCCTTCTGGGTAAAAGGACCACTCCTCCTTTTACTCTTGTTTCTTCCCTCAAGGATTACATCATAAACAAGACAATTAACATGACAATCCAAGCTGCCTTTGTTTTCTTTCACTAGACAAAGAGAAAAAATCATTTAAAATATATTTTTAAAAATCACAAAACACTAGAGATTTCAAAGCATTCTTTGACATACTGGGATTCCTTCTGTGATCACAGCAAAACAAAACTAGATGGGGGCCAGCAAGTATTTGCCAAGTAGTACCAGCATTGAAGGGCATGTCTTGATCATACTCCCTTGGAGCCCGTGGACCCTTCTTAAGCCGTTGAGGTTTGAATCATCTTTTATGATGTGTGTCAGTGAATAAGACAAGACTGTGGACAGCTTCCTGACAAACATTCCTGTGAGCTTAGTGTCTACATTTGAAGATTTCCTACATAAAAATTTTGAAGAAAAATCAAGGTCACACTACAGTAGCACATATGAAGGGGAAGGAATACCCCTCCCTTTTTGAAACTCTTCCAACGGCAATCCCAAACACAAGAAGCAGAAGCATAAAAGTGATGAGGGATAGTGAAAGAAGGGGATAGATCTTCACTCTGCTTCTATGTCCTGAGGTGGAATCGTGGGCAGAATTGCAGAAGAGTGGAAAAGCTATGTTGAAATAAAGTATAGATGACTAAACAAGGAACCATAGGATGGAAAATCTGTGACTGGAGAACAGATGAACATCCACCATGTTGTTACACCATGTTGGTATAGACTAAATACTGGACAGCTTGCCTCACATGGGCATTGGAAATAGTCATTTCTTATAAAAATTACCCAAAAATAGGCTTGCCTGAAAGATGCGATGATCTGTGTAGGTCCATTTAATTTCTCTGGATATATTTTTCTCTGGCAGTGTCAGTTGCCTCCACCCCTTGGTCCCTACCAGTTCCTTACGGGACAAGGGAAATCCCTCATCTCTTTTCTTGTCAGGCAGCAGGGCAGGGTCTACCTCATCTCATTTCTCTCTTCGCAACAGTATTTTCTTCTTGAGTGAACTCTCTCTGCTTTCGTAGTAAGCTTATTTATGAAATAAATATCGGGACTATGAAATAAAACAGCTGGCAGCAACTTAACCTAGAATATCAATGACCAGCCTGCAATTACTCTCAAATGGAACTTGTCTCCCTGAAGAACCATTTCAATGGAAGATGCAAGGTATTTTTTAAGAAAATGAAACTTAACCACAAGTGCCTAGGCCTAGGGCTATTCAGACATGAATCAAAACTAGCAGTATCAGTGCACTTATTCATATAAATGTTTAATCAGTTGCAATGTGGAATTTCTAATTATCTGAAATTTCCTACAAAACGAGGGAGGAAAAAATGGTTGACAACAAGACTAATGTATCTCTATTGGGCATTTAAATCTACACTAACATAATGAAACATTTATATAGCAGTTGAGGCTCAGGAAAGTTTATATTTTGTTCCCAAAATTCTAAAACTCAAGCCTGTGACTCAGATCCAGTATTCATCATTCCTTCCCTTTGCACATAGAGAAAATGGGTAATCCAGAGAACATTGGTCTCTTCTCATGAGAAGCTACAAACAAACGAGGGTAGATCATTCTCTATTATTAAGTTTATTGATATTAAGTTTATCCCACACATTGAACGTGAGTGTGGAGCCCAGAGAAATGAGGTAAGATCTAGGCACTCTCTACAGACAAGAAAGAAGTTGAGAACAAGTGACCTTTACCTATAGCAGGTATTACTGCAAAAGGTAAATATATATATTTCTTTATTGAAGAGTGTATTTCTTCACGTATATTTTCTTAATTGGTCAGCAGATGGTGAAACTGACTCATGCAGGTGAAGAGGTGCAGACAGCACCTGTGGTAAATAGCTCAGGTTCTTGGAGGTGTGGATGATTCATGCGTCATGTTAATCAAACTGGCTTACAACCATGGGTCTTTTCAGCAAGCCACTTTGAGCATGTAGGAACACCTACTTTAACATTTTTATTTATTATATGCAATAAAGAATAGAAAAAAAAGGGAAAACATGCTTCAGCCTACAATTTCTCAGCAAAAGGAAAATCATCTTAATTGCTTCATTCAGCGAAAACCTAATACAGAAAAAAAGGAGAACAAATAAGTATTCTCACAGGTTAAATCAGAAAACATCTGTTTCATTTGTGAAGCTTTATTATGTAGGCACAGAAGCACTTTTGGCAGCTGTGCTATTAATCGGTAAGAGGCTATAAACTTGTCACGGGTAAGGACACTGCAAATTCAGCTTGAATACAGTTTGCTTTTCACATTAATGACACGTAAGGACACTTGTGCCTCTCATCATCACTTCAGAGCTTTGAAAAGACCAATGTTCTTGTTCCCATCTCAAAGGGCCACTGGTACTTCAGCTCATGACCCATCCGTTCTTTGTGGTATTAACCCTTAGATTAAATTCAATCAACCTTGAAGATGGCTTCAAGAGCACTTACTTCTCTTTTAAAGATCACACACATTCTTTCCACCTGGAAATTTCAAAAGTAACCAGACCCTCCACTGTTGATTAAAATCTGCCCAGATATCAATAAGGACATTCGAGCGTCATTTTCTTAGAAGAATTGTCCAGATGTTTGCTCTAAAATCCCCAATAGGAAATACAGTGAGTCTCACAGTAGATTCAGGGTGGCCGAGTGCTCCTGCTTACTTTGTGTTCCTCGGCTATGGGAAGCTCTAACATTCGCAGATTTGATGTGCTGGATACAAAAATCACTTCACCTAAAAAAAAAAAAAAATGTGTCACAAGCTCTGGATCTTGTGGGGATCCACAGGTAAATATAAATGACATTATGTGGCTTCACCCACAGTTCTTCACATTTTTAAAAGAACAATATTCCTAAGAGGAAGAGGCAAGAGGACTGAAAGGAGGTACCGGGCCATCATTCATGATCATAAAAGTATACTAGCCACCGTAGTTGCAAGAGAATTCCACAGTACTAATAAAATTTGCTAACCATTTGGGGAACTGACTAGTCTAAAAATAACTAGTCTACTCCATTTGGGGAACTCAAATCTGTTCTAAGAATCATTTCCAGAAGCCATTTCAACGTAGGAACTTTCGAAAGATCACATGGGCCAAGAAGTGCTGGCCTGCTAAGAACCTCACTGGATAGACAGCAGCACCATCTACATCCTGTTGCCTGAGGATGGGCTACAGAGCCCCTGAGCAGCAAGAACTAGGAGAGATCTCCTCCCCACTAAATAGTTGAGGAACTGCTGTTGATATGTCTTAGTTACTCCTCAGCCCTGTGAGGTTAATAAACATACCAGGAGATAGGGGTTTAAAAATAGATCCACCTTCAAGTAGATGAGAGAATGTGAAGTCAAGACCATCTGCAAAGACTCTATGATTATTTTATACGCCAAAAAGCTAGAGTCGTGGAAACAGGAGTTCATGAAAATCAGACCCACTAATGACAATCTTCTAACATGCTCTGAAACCAAATTATGTTGAGTGAGTAGACATATAAAAAAGTCACTGAAATATCTTACATTATGATTTGCCTGACTGTAAAACACACACACACACACACACTAGTGAAAAGGCTAGTGTAACGTTGAGCCATATATTTCATGAAGGCCTCCCTACTCATCTACTGATGCTATAAAAGCTGTACCTTTTTTGTGTTTTGTTTCTGTTTAAATTATCTTGAATATCTGGCCCTCACACTGAGGTTGTCTGATTCTTCTAATAGTACAACAGACTGTACAGTTGAAACAGAGCCATTGTTACATAGTCATGAATAAAGACTCTTAGGTATTCCAGTCCACGTGAGCCCTGTAGCTCAAATAATGTGGTTAGAGTTTTCACCTATACATACCCTCTCCTAATAGTAGCAAGAGAAAATGTTCTTTCAAGCCTATCGCCTTTGGACTGAA